ACAAGCGCTAAATGGCATTTGGCTACAGCTGCTGGTTTATCAGAGAGCGCTACTGCCCGGTCTCTGTCAAATATGTAATCGTCTGTAGAGTAACCGGCACCCGTGGAAAGAGATGGTGATTAATGTATTCTAGTTTATCGTTATCATATGGCTTCCAGAGGTTATTTCATGGTTACTAAATCCAGTCCTTAGCAATGGTCGCGGATAAAGTAACAGGTTGCCGGGGCTGGGGTGGTTTTTAGTCAGTATGAGTCTGACACTCCCTTTCGCCTAACCCGGGCGGGAGAAGCCATTCGATGATTTTCCCTCTTCAAAAAAATATCATAAATAAGAGACTACAAATTCGACAGAGACCGGGTAGAATTCACATAGGTGCTGTTTAAAATCATTGGCTTATATTTTACAACTGATTAGTTAAATCGCTATGAGTATTATGTTAATGTTGGAACAACTAGTCTAGTAGTAATCAATCAAGTCCTTACAATTGGGTACTTGCCTACGAGTCAAATTCAATACTTTTTTTTTGAACTGTCAAAAAACGAGAGTGTTCTATGAATTTTGTACGAGATTGTGTATTGTGACGTCACGTTTTTTTAGCGTCAAACAGCGTACTTATTTCTTAAAAATTTGCTGGAAAAATACTAAAATGAAGTTGGTTGTAAAATCAATTAAAGAAAGTTTGATTATTGTTTTATATTTTATTGTATTTAACTCGTTGAGTACCGTCATTATAGACACAATTATAGAACAATAGGTTGCGGTCACCGGTGACCGCTTGGTGTTTGACAGTTTAATAGTCGAAATAAGTTATTTTTGATGAAGACAAGTAGCCATTTGATTTCTAAAGAAAATCGTTTCTAAAGAGTAGGTTGAGTACCCATCAAATAATTTTTCAGTATTACTGGGTTTTTAAAAAAATCTCAATAGCAGCACGGAGTCTGGAATTGTGTCCGTTATATGGCAATATGCTCACTCCTTATTACATGGGACTCATAACATAAATAGTGAAAAGTGGGTGTTACATTGTAGGTACAGTGATATAATGTGCACCTCTGCCTATCCTTCGAGGATAAAAGGCGTGATGTTTATATAACATGTATGTAATTTTGCAGTTTATAAGGGCAGATTTTTACAATAGATAAAATAAAGAAAGGAGTTAGATACTAGAAACCACTTTGAACCTACTTCAAAACTACAAAAAATATGTTAGAACTGAACCTTTATAAGAGTTCCGTAGGTTGAAAAAATATTTGTCTTCGATTTTTTGAAGATTTTTTTTTATGGTATAAGCCGGTAAACGAGCAGACGGATCACCTGATGGTACGCAATCGGCGTCGCCCATGGACACCTGGAACACTAGAGGCGTTATAAGTGCGTTACCGGGATTTTTGGGATTAGGAGTTGGAAAGCCTAAAAGTTAGTCTGAAAGCCATACTCCGGCACCAATGGGCCGGCTCGACCGGAGTGATATCACGAACGAGCAAAAAAGCAACGTGGAACAACGCTTGCGTTATGTATCGTCGTGTGAGTGATGTTACGGGAGGCCCAATTACCCCCCAGTCTCCCTTATCCCCGAATCGTAGTCGCGGAGAACCTAACGGGTAACCGGGGCTCCGGCTCGACGTGCAGAAGAAGGAACGGGGTGGTTTTTAGTCAGTAAGAGTCTGACACTCCCTTCCGCCTCACCCAGGCGGGTCTATATCTATACTAATATTATAAAGAGGAAAGATTTGTATTTTTGTATTTTTGTATGTTTGTAATGAATAAACTCAAAAACTACTGGACCGATTGCAATAATTTTTTCACCATTAGAAAGCTGCATTATTCAGAAGTAACATAGGCTATATAATATCACGCTAGGTCCTATAGTTGTGGAGCAGTAACCAAAAATGTTTTAAAAACGGGGGAAAAGTATCGTTTCTGAGGCCTTCCGTGGCGTGCGCTGAGCATATAGTTAAAGTTATACAAAAATGCTCTATAGATGAATTGTTCATAAATAAATGAAATAAGTAAATGAAGTCCGGAAAAATATTTTCAAAAGGTAAATACTTCCTAAATAAAAAAAAACTGAGAATAAATATAAATAAAACGTAAAACTATGTAAAAAATCTTAAGTCCCCCCGTGCGAAGCCGGGACGGGCCGCTAGTGTAGTAATAATTTTTATTCTTACAGAACTCTAAAATTGAACAGTATTAGTACGAATGTAGAGACAAAAGAAATAGTCGCTTCGTGTAAAGAAGTCTGTAAGCCACAATATAGAAGTCGGCCAGAGATGGCGACTTCAAGTTAGAGAGAGACAGAGCTATGTTAATATATAAAGATGTCGGTTTGTTTGTTTGTTTGAATGGAGAGGATTTTATTGGCTGCCGGTTCTTGGGTTGGATTTCAGGGTCGCGCAAAGTATTACTGGGTTTTTAAAATCTCAGTAGTAGCACGGAGTCTGGAATTGTGCTCGGTATATGGCAATAGAGTCACCCCCTATTACATGGGATTCATCACATAAATAGTGAAAAGTGAGTGTTACATTGTGCAGTTGTATTAAGTAGGTACCGTAATGTGCACTTCTGCCTACCCCTTCGGGGATAACAGTTTTATATGTATGTTGTTGATGTTAATGGCATGGGTGGAGTAGGTTTAATTCTCGTGTTATTTATAACTTTTTGTTGATATTAAACTGTCAAACACCAAGCGGTCACCGGTGACCGCAACCTATTGTTCTATAATTGTGTCTATAATGACGGTACTCGGCGAGTTAAACATTTTAATAACTTGGTATTACGTTTGAAATGGACTTCTGTATTTGGTAGTAGGATCACCTGTATGATAAAAATTGGAAAACCTAATTGCTAAATACTGGATTTCACGCTGCGCTGCAGCCCTGCGTACGGTAAGCACGGGCCTGTGGACGGTGAGCACGGGTAGCTGGCCTACCGACCAAAACGTCATCAAAACATTATCTACAGCCTCACTCTGCGAAAACAGCACTTCTCCGTAAAAGTGTGTTTTGTATGGCACCTTTAATATATAATAAAATTCCGCATAATTTGAAAAATATAAATAACAATAATAATTTGTTCAAAAAAGAACTAAAAAAATTACTTATTAAGCATTGTTATTACCATATTAAGGATTTTTAAATGATATTTTATAAGTTCATTTTTTCATATGTTTTAACTTTAGTTGTCTCTTTAATAGATTTATAAATTTTATAATTATTTTGTACGCCAATTGTGGCAAAACATGTTGAGACGTTACAGTGTTTATTTTATCATCTGCATTTGCATTGATATGTATAATGTTACCCACACATGTTTATACAAATAAATATATCTTTATCTTTATCTTAAAACCAGCTCGGGTCTGCTTGGTACCTGTTGACCACCACAGATGGAGCCTAATAGGGCTGATGCCGATACGGAACCGCGGAGGAATTAACGGGTTACCAGGACTCTGGCTCGAAGTGCAGGAGTAGGAACGGGGTGGTTTTCAGTCAGTAAGAATCTAACACTCCCTCTCGCCTCACCCAGGCGGGAGAAGTCATTGGATGATTCCGTATAAAAAAAAACCATTTTGAGGAATAATAAATACAGTGTTAATTATAAATTATATAAATCAGGAATCAAACCGAAAGCTCACCATAAGAAGACTACACTCTTCAAATTAAAAAGATAACTTAAATTAGAAAAAAAATACTAAAATAATTTAAATTCGCAAACAAAACCAAATAAACACAGTAGTCTAGCTAGGTCAAACCCGTAAGTATTGTACTGTAAGTGATGAAAGAGATAGCAATCTATATCGTCGTGTGTTAGACAAAGACAAAGATAGAAATTAAGTACCGACCCTCAGTTTAGAGTCATAAGGGTAGGAGTGCAAAATTTGTAAAATTGTTTTTATACTGCCTCGTTGGTCGAGTGGTCGCAAGTCCGACTGCCAGGCAAAGTATTACGTACTGGGTTAAAAAAAAATACTAGTAGTAGCACGGAGTCTGGAATTGTGTTCGGTATATGGTAATAGGCTTATCCCCTATTACATGGGACTTATAACATGAATAGTAAAAAGTAGGTATTACATTATACAGTGGCATTAAGTGGCGTAATATAAGTACACCTCTGCCAAACCCTTCGGGGATAAAAACGCGTAATGTTATGTTAATGTCGTGATGGCACGGAGATTTAAGACGCTGGCTTCTCATGCATGAGAATGTGGGTTCGAAACCTACCAACGGCAAGTACCAATGTGACTTTTTCCGAGTTATATGTACTTTCTAAGATTATCTAGACACCACTGACAAACGGTGAAGGAAAACATCGTGAGGAAACCACAAGTGCGACAGCCGAGTCTCGGCATCGATTTACGGGTCATTATCGACATTATTAAATATTTTTTGTTCTGTAAATTGAACCTAGTACATGGCTCCACCAAATTGTTGGTCCTCTATTTCATGAGACTCATTTATGTATATCATATTTGTATATTAAGTTCGTTCCTTTACTGATCAAAATATGTCACGTATGGTTTAACATTAAAATTAACAGAAATAATACAGTAAGAACGAATAAAATAATCACAATGCGAAGTTATAAATCAAATTGAACGAAATTTGCACTTACGCCTTTATCTCTGACAACGCTGCCCGCATTTTCAGCGGAAACTTATCGAAAACCTGTAGCTTTTGCTGTAAGTCCAAACCAAAATCGACCTTAATGTACTACCAATACATATTACAATTCCTTGCCATACTTCATTGTGTAGAAAATATGGAACACACAAAGCAATTTCAAACTTAATTGTAACAGATGAGAGTTGAAAACGCAGTGTCTTAGCTTTCGCAAGCTGATAAGATCCTACCAGCCGTCTTAGACCTCCCCTCCCCTCTTCGTCGTGAAGTATTGACTTATAAAAGGGGGAGTTATATAGTAAAACCGAGTTCAATTTAAATTGGTTTTGGCTTTACGGACTTGTGTCTTGCGGAGTCATCTCAGTCGAGCCGCGGACTTCGCGCGGTAAAGACGTCAGCGGCGGCTCCTAGAATTATTTTATATATCATTTATTTTCTTATTAATTCCATTATACTATTTAAAGAACAAGTTTTATTATATATAGAGTTTTAGTTTATTAAATTATGCCCGTCTGTGTGTTCAGGAAAGGAGCTTGAAGGTAAGAATTATAACAGAAATTACATTTAACTCGACATTCGAGTAAGCTACGATTAATTGTTCATCAAAAGGCGTTATATATACATTTCCTATATTAATACACTACGTTTCTGCCATAGAGTTTATACGCACAGAAGGAGATTCCTGTTTTCATGGGAATTTTGGGAAACCCTCTTGTAGTGGTTCCTCTACACTCCCCAAGCAACATACGACCCAAGTTTCAGCTTCCTACGTTCAGTAGTTTCGGCTGTTCGTCTGTCAATCAGTCACCCTATAACCTAAGAGTTTTATATACAATATTAGAAAAATAATATAAAACTCCTTGGTTATATGATGACTGAATCGGTGACAGACTGTACACAGCTGTAACTACTGCGCGTAGCAAGCTGTGTGACTTGTAGCGCGCTGTAGGAGTGTAGGGTAGTGCTGAGAGACGATTTCCTAAAATCCCCGTGATTTTTATGGACGAACGAAGTCGTACGCAGAAAGTAGTATCACTACATAGTATAAAACAAAGTTGCTTTCTCTGTCCCTATGTCCCTTTGTATGCTTCAATCTTTGAAACTACGCAACGGATTTTGATGCGGTTTTCTTAATAGATAGAGTGATTCAAGAGGAACGTTTATATGTATAATACATACATATTGCACCCGTGCGAAGCCGAGGCGGGTCGCTAGTGTAGTAAATAATATAAATTTGGAACTATTATAAAATGGTTATCTTTAGAGTTACCTATGGAGTTTCTTGCTCGTTCTTCTCTACAAGGATCTATGCTTTGCAACGAGCAAATAGAGCAACTAGAGGAATGACCGATAGACGGACATTTTTTATATTGTTTAGCGTTTAAAAGTGCCTAAAATTATTAAAATAAATGATTTGACTTTGGCTTGAAAATGACGTCCATTATTAATGGTTTTTACTAATCTTAAAGGCCGGTTTTTCAATCATCAGTTAATTCTTAACTGTAGATTATGCAGCTAATAAGTTTGACAGTTTTTAATATGGAAGAATTGTCAAATATACAAAGTTATCCCTCAGTTTAAGTTTATCTGGCGTTGGAAAAATCGGCCCTAAGACAATTGAACGCTCAGATAAATTTAAACTGAGGGATAACTATCAATATTTGTCAATTGGGTACTGTCCTTAATCAAAAATAAATTATTCCGACTGTTCAATACAATGAAATATTAAAAAATAATCACACTTTGATTAATTGAATTTATGACCAACTTAATTTTAGTATATTTCCAGCAAATTTTTAAGAAATATGTATGCCGTTTGACGCTAAAAAAACGTGACGTCACAATACACAATCTCGTACAAAATTCATAGAACACTCTCGTTTTTGACAGTTCGAAAAAAGTATTGAATTTGACTAGTTGTAAAATACTATATTGTTTCATACTAAAAACTGTCAATTTTAAGGCCTTAATTTGACTAGATTCTGGCTGTATTTCTTTAATTTTGTCCATTAATCCATGTTTAACATACTTCCGAATGATTCAATTAAAAGTTCTAATAAATGATTACTAATACCCGCGGATTCGCCCGCGAGGTTAGGAGAAAATACGCATAAAAGTTATTTGTTTCTCACTTAAACGATTGTACCGTTTTATGGTACATTTTAATCGTAGTTAGTCATCCTGACTCCTGCAGCTGTAGCCAAATGCATTTAGCGCTTGTCTACATGTAGAATAGAAAACCAAATTATATGGAATTGACGTAAATTTTGACACTTGTCAGTGTCGTCCCCATGCATTTTGATTTCTAATCTCTCTGTAGAGAAGCGCTAAAGTGGTGTTTGGTTAAAGGCCCTGGCTTTTTTTTTTATTAAGGGGTGAAAATCATTGGATGACTGCTCCCGCCTGAGTGAGGCGGGAGGGAGTGTCAGACTCTTACTGACTAAAAACCACCCCGTTCCTTCTCCTGCACGTCGAGCCGGAGCCCCGGTTACCCGTTAGGTTCTCCGCGACTCCGAATCGGCATCGGCCGTATTGGGCCCCATCTGTGGTAGTCTGATGGCTCTTTGAGGCGCGCGCGGAACGCGACGCGCCGTACGCTCGGGTCTGTTTCTGAAAGGCCCTGGCTAGGAAGTTATGATGGCTATTTTTTTCTTTGACCACGCAAATTGATTATAATTTCAAAAGCTAGTATAATGACATATAACGATGTCTTTTAAAAATAATTTCTGCAAAAGCTCTCCTAATTAGTGAAGATGTAATAGTATAATGGCTGAAATTTTTCAGCCCGTCTTCAGAGACATTTCGTTTCGTAATAAAATTATTATTTAATTACTCAAATATATCTATAGATTCAAAGATTTTCATTTGAATTGAAGAACTGAATGAAATTACTTAGACACCACTGACAAACGGTAAAGGAAAACATCGTGAGGAAATCTGGGCATGTAATTTCTAATTATAAGTTTGAAATCGCCAACCCGCATTGAGCAAGCGTAGTGAATAATGCTCAAACCGTTACTGTGTGAGAAGAAGCCTTTGGTCAGTGGAGACTTCAGATGATGCTTATTAACTCGTCGTGTACCGTATTTATAGACTCAATTAAAGAACAATAGGTTGCGGTCACCGGTGACCGCTTGGTGTTTGACAGTTTAAAAATTATGTTTTTCTATAATCAAATAAAGATAGCGTCATGGTTTTTAATCCCCCAAGAAGTAGACAGAAGTTCATATATACATTATACAATCTAACACCCACTTTTTATGTTATGAGTCCCATGTAATAGGGGGTGAGCCTATTGCCATATATCGGGCACATTTCCAGACTCCGTGCTACTACTGAGATTTTTTTTTAAAACCCAGTAATACTTTACCCTACCCGGGAATCGAACCCGAGACCCCTTGCCCAACTTGCAAAACTAGCGACCACTCGGCCAACGAGGCAGTCACACACAAACATACATTCATACATACATACAGGTCAAAATGAGACCCTCCTTCTTTTTTTGAAGTCGGAAAAAATACAACACATTATTTAAAAAAGAAAATTGGATCGTTCAGTCCAACTTCAAAAGAATTTCGAAACTGACATCCGATGTCAAAAGTTTAATCTCGGAAGTCGATCTGATCTCCTCTACATCTGCTGACCCCATTTGCTTTTATGTAGGGATACTAATCTTTTATAGCGAATGGAAAACTCTATCGTAAAACCGCGACCCTTGTGTAAAATGGGGTAGGCAGATAATGTTAGCTTTAGTATAGATATGTAAAGTTTTTGAAATAAAATATTATATTATGCCGTGGTGGCCCGAAGGTTTAAAACGCCCGCTTCTCATGCATGAGGGTGCGGGCTCGAAACTACCAACGGCAAGAACCAATGTGACGTTTACCGAGTTATATGTACTTTCTAAGATTATCTAGACACCACTGACAAACGGTGAAGAAAAACATCGTGAGGAAACCTGGGCTTATAATTTCTTATTATAAGTTTGTAATCGACAACCCGCATTGAGCAAGCGTGGTGATTAATGCTCGAGCCTTCTCCGTGTGGGAAGAGGCTTTGCTAAGCAGTGGGCATTTATAGGCTGTTGATGATGATGATATTATATTATGATATTTTGTTCGTTGAGCATTGGATATTTTTTATGGGATAAGCCAATAAACGAGCAGATAGATCACCTGATGGTAAGCAATCGGCGCCGCCCATGGACACCTGGAACACCTGTTACAAGTGCGTTGCCGGCCTTTTAGGGATTAGGAATTTAAGAATTGTTTGGGATTCCGGGTTTGGTGAGAGGGAAAGGGGATAAATGGGCCTCCGGTAACCTCACTCACACGACGAAACACAACGCTTCGGTTGTTTCACTATGGTATTCTGCTCGGCCGTGGTAATATTTCGGTCGAGCCGGCCCAGCAGTGCCGAAGCATGGCTCTCTCACACTTAAAAATATAATAATATGAATTGGGCAAAAGGATTTTCTATATTGTCAGGGTAAAATATGATTATAACAGTATGCTCGCCACCTCTTGTATCCATGGTGCCCACGCGTGTGTAATATTAATTTCATTAATTAAAAAGTATTTAAAAATTTTTGCAACACCAAAAAATGAAATTTAATGTTCTGAATAATTTTAACGAAGTAGCGATGAAACAGTGAATTCATTTATTTTTATAAATAATCTACAAAAGATTACTTTTACTCGTCAGCATTTAAAAAAAACTAGATGAGACGCGCATTACCTATCGGACTACACTGAGAGGACTACTTCCAGTCGAGGCGGCCCATTCGTGCCGAAGCATGGCTCTCACACACTAAAAATAGTTAGACTTCCTAAATCAAAATTACAACATAACATCACGCCTTTTATCCCCGAAGGGGTAGGCAGAGGCGCACATTATGCCACTGTACAATGTAACACCCATTTTTCACTATTTATGTTATAAATCCAATGTAATAGGGGGTGAGCATATTGCCATATACCGGGCACAATACCAGACTTCATGCTATTACTGAGAATTGTTTTGAGAACCCAACCCGGGAATCGAACCCGAGACCCCTTGCCCGGCAATCCCACTTGCGACCACTCGGCCAACGAGACAGATTAGTATATCAAAATTGTCATGATTATTTCATCCAAAATCTGACCACTTCTATCCCTGTTAGTTAGGGCGTAACATTAATTTTATCCATTAAGTACTGATCCATCAAACCTCAAGGTCGAAGTAAGGGTCCCTGATAAATATGAAAGGGGGTCTATAAATTTGAATTGAGTTAGGTTCGGTAAGCACTCCGGCTTTTATGATTAAACCTTCATGGTTTAGGGACTAAGTAAGATTAAATTGATGCGGTTTCGTGATTCAAAGTTGAGTTTTTTGACGTGTGGGTTTGGTTTATATTATAACTTTTTCGAGACGTACTGAAATTATAATTATATGTTTTTTCTTAATTGACAAGCCGGTAAACGCGCAATCGCAAGCAATCGGCGTCGCTCACGGACAACTAGAAAACCAGAGGCGTTACAGGTGCGTTATCGGCCTTTTGGGGATTAGGAGTTTGAAGATTGTTGGGGATTCAGGTTTTGGGGAGCTTGGGAAAGGGAAGGGGGGGGGGGGTAATGGGATGTGGCTGTCTTTCGGCTTACTCACATTACAGTAGCTGCATGACAATGCTGCTCATAAATATGAGCCTCTAGCATGGCTTGAAACTAATCGAGTTTCTTGTTACCTGATTAAGCCGAAAATATAATAATTAGGTTTAAGTCAGTGTTAGTGTTGATCAGTGTTCGTTCTCGGTTTGGTAAAACTTTCTTACGTTTTTAAATTGTATGGTAATAGACTCACCATATGTTATATGGGCGTATTAACTATAACATAACTGATGAATCATAGGTATTACATTGCATAAACTTGATCGTGAAATAAGTGAATTTATTTCTGCACTTTTACACGTCAATTTTATCAATCGAACAATGAGGTCGACATTTCCTAACTGACTACTCTGAGAAGAAATGCCGAAACAAACTCAGAGAACTCTTTTAAAGTCCAAAAGAGTGAAAGAGTAGGTAACTTATAGAGTTTCTTGTTCGTTCTTTTCCATAGGAATCTACACTTTGGAACGAGCAAATAGAGCAACTAGAGGACTGACCGACAGACGCAATTTTTTAAAAATGCCATCTTGGTCTAATTGACTTTATTTATGCGATTCTCTGCCTATCCCTTTGGGAATTCAAAGCTCATTATGTATAGGCATCATATCATCAACAGCCTATAAATGCCCACTGCTGAGCAAAGCCTCTTCTCACGCGGAGAAGGTTAGAGCATTAATCACCACGCTTGCTCAATGCGGGTTAGCGATTTCAAACTTATAATTAGAAATTATAAGTTCAGGTTTCCTCACGATGTTTTTCCTTCACCGTTTGTCAGTGGTGTCTAAATAATCTTAGAAAGTACATATAACTCGGAAAAAGTCACATTAGTACTTGCCGTTGGTAGATTTCGAACCCGCACCCTCATGCATGAGAAGTGGGCGTCTTAAACCTCCGGGCCACCACGACTGTGGTGGCACGATCTGGCATCATATACCCATACAAAATACATTAATAACGAATGCAATTAAATCTTATATACATAAAGAACTACCTTCTGCCCGTGGTTTCGTGCGCGTAATCCCGTTTTCTCCCGTTCCCGTAGGATTTTCAGGATTGTTTCTATCTTAAGAACCTTCTCCTAATAATGACAAATACAACAAAAAAAGAATTAGTGAAATCGGGCCAGCCATTGACACGTAATGCCGTGACTAAGGGAAAAAGTGATTCATTTTTATATATAAGAACATACATTGTAATAATCTTAATAACAATTACAATTTTTTACAAAATCGTAGCACGCGTAGCAATGTGCTACGCCGTAGCCGCCGTAGCCGTAGCGTGATCCTTTGAAGTATGCGGCTTGATAACTTTAACAGCATTCTTATAACAAACATTCTTGTTAAAATTGTTCCAAAAATACCCCAAATGAACGATACCGCTGTAAAGTAAAATGAGAATACCTGTTTGAGGGTGTCTAAAATAGGAGAAACATTACGGGATTATATTTTTTTGTACTCTGTATTTAGTTTTTAACGTTTTTATGAGATTGACCTGTAACGATCTATGTACTTAACTATGTGATAGCTTCCCTAGAGAACTGACCGACAGACTGTCATTTTTCCTTTAATATTTAAATACTTTTTTTAAAACTCAGTAATACTTTGCCCGACCCGGGAATCGAACCAGAGACCCCTTGCCCAGCAGTCGCACTTGCGACCACTCACCAGACAACGAGGCAGTCGGCAGTAAAAATTCTCAGTAGTAGCACGAAGTCTGGATTTGTCCCCGGTGTATGGCAATAGGCTCACCCCCTATTACATGGGACTCATAACATAAATAGTGAAAAGTGGGTGTTACATTGCACAGTGGCATAATGTGCACCTCTGACTACCCCTTCGGGGATAAAAGGCGTAATGTTATGTTATGTTATTTAACTCGTCGAGTACCGTCATTATAGACACAATTATAGAACAATAGGTTGCGGTCATCGGTGACCACTTGGTGTTTGACAGTTTAAATACTAGCCACTCGCCTTGGTTTCGCACGGGTGCAATATGCATGTATTATATATAATATAACCCTTCCTTAAAAATCACTCTATCTATTAAAAAACCGCATCAAAATCCGTTGCGCAGTTTTAAAGATCTAAGCCTACATAGGGATAGGCAGATGGCGGATAACGACTTTGTTTTAAACTGTGTAGTGATTTTGTTTTGACGATCAAAAGTACCTTCCTAGTCTAATTGAAATAAATTATTTTGACTTTAACTTTGGACAAAATCTAAGAATCTCTATTACACGCACTTGTAATTGTTGTATCATCATGAACCTTGCCAATTGTATGTAGATTAGATGACAATACAATATTATGGTGCCATCGAGCTGGTTTGATGATGGAATTGGAAGGTGGCTGATGGAACCTTGGACTGCCTACTAGTAAACATATCGAGTACGAGCGCATTAGTTAGGTTTTTCTTCTGATGCTTTTTTAACTAATTAACTCGTCGAGTACCGGTTTTGTAGACACAATTATAGAACAATAGGTTGCGGTCACCGGTGACCGCTTGGTGTTTGACAGTTTAATTTGTTGTCATATAGACTAGGTTCTGTCAGCGGCTTCGGTCGCCTTCTAAGGGGTAAAAAGTAGCTTATGTGCTACTCCAGAAAATGTCCAAATTTCATCTCAGTGCCTTCGGCTGAAGTGTTTTTTGTTTTTTCGATGTGACTGAGTTACAAACATACACACAATGTGGGATAAAAACTACCCAGCATCCTGCCCAGGGTCTGTAGCCAAACGCCACTTTAGCGCTTGTCTACGGAGAGAGTAGAAATCAAAATGTATGGGGATGACACTGACAAGTGTCAAAATTTACGTCAATTCCATATAATTTGGTTTTCTATTCTAGATGTAGACAAGCGCTAAATGGCATTTGGCTACAGTTGCTGCATATTAAAGTATAATCTTACCAAGTTTCATCGTAATCGAATTAGTAGTATTTACGTGATGCGTGAACATACAGACATACAAACACACAGACAGACAAACAAATTTTGTTTAATCACATTTTTGGGTTCGGTATCCATCTAGTCATCATGTACACAGTTTACACTTTTACAGTTTTATTATATCTATATATAGATTCTACATAATAGATTTTTTAAAGGGTGAAAATCATCTAATTACTTCTTCCGCCTGGATGAGGTGGGAGGGAGTGTCAGACTCTTACTGACTAAAAACCACCCCGTTCGTACTCCTGCGCTTCGAGCCGGAGCCCCGATAACACGTTAGGTTCTCCGCGGCTCCGTATCGGCATCAGTCCTATTGGGCCTCATCCGTGAGCATGATAGAATTTGCCGTACCATTTAGGCGTGGTAGGCTGGTCAAAGATCGCAGTGTAAAACGTACAGGTTTATCAAACAGCGCTGTTTCTCGGTCTCTGTCTATTGCAGTCTTTTAAAACTGTTAAGACACCCGCACTAGGAATACGACTGGTGACATAAACAGCGTCGAGAATCAAAATTAAACCTTTAAATAATATGATAAAGTTCATTATTAAGTGCAAACAAAAGGGGTGGATAGAACGGATGAGACGCGACGTATTGGTGGAAGCAGCTCGTTAGCGCGCCGTGAACTGTCATCCGGCAGCCATCTTTATACGTCACGGCCGCCATTGTTATACGCCATCTTGGAAATTGATAATTGGAGGGAAAATTTCTCTTTTTGAGTTTAATTTTTGACTTTAGTATTCAATTTTGAATTGAGGTTAAATTTTTTGGAGTTTTTAAGATGGTATATAGTGTTGATATTTAGGTTTCGTATGAAAGTAAAATTGAACAAGAAGAGGTAGACAGACGTAAACACGTTAAGGTATATAATGACACACGCGTTGTACAACATAGTTTATATACAAATGCACCCAGAAAAGGAGCATCTTTAACTGCTCAATTCCCAAGTGGTCACCACTCTCCACTTACTCTATTATTGACCTTATTTTCGAAGTTCAGAGACTACTTTTGTATGAACAAAGTTTCGGTACGATATATCAACTTATTAAATAAAAAAAAAACGATTATTTAAAACTAATATTTCACTTTTTCCCTAATATAATTAACTAGCTGTTACCCGCGACTGCGTCCGCGTACATGATTCCTATTTAATTTCATAGGAACATTTAATCTGGGTAAAAAGTCGTATCGTATCACCTAAGTCAGTCCCTGCCTGTACACCAAATTTTATCAAAATCCGTTTAGTAGTTTCAGCGTGATTGACGGACAAACAAAGAATGTTTAACTACAATTATACTATAAGTGTAATGGAGTTCAGTTCAAAATGAAGTCTGAAGTCTCCTGAAATGACATGTTCTTTTCAATTCTCATGCATTCTCATCATTTGTAACACCTGCCCCTCTTCAACAGGAATATAACCAATCACCATGGGTGTCGCATCAGACGGTTTCACCAGCCAGTGGGGGGCGAAGATAGCTGCCCTCAGGGAGTCGAGAAAGCTGGTGCTGGTGATCGTGGCCATCGCTCTACTCCTTGACAACATGTTGCTGACCACCGTCGGTGAGTATTTGACTTTTGTTTTTCATGGCATAGGCAAACTACCTTAAGTCTTCCGCGGCTCCGTATTGAGCCTCCGATAACCTCACTCACACGGCGAAGTACAACGCAAGCGTTGTTTCACGCCAATTTTCTGTGAGGCCGTGATATTGGGTAATATAACCAATTCACGCTTTTTATCCCCGAAGGGGTAGGCAGAGGTGCACATTATGCCGCTGTACAATGTAACACCCACTTTTCACTATTTATGTTATGAGTCCCATGTAATAGGGGGTGAGCCTATTGCCATATACCGGGCATAGTACCAGGATCCGTGGTACAACTGACTTTTTTTTCTTTTTTATCCTCCTTTTTTTATTTTTTTAGGGGGATTTTCTCCATATGGATACGTCAACCCCATCGCACCTTATCTAATTAAATATACTCTGTGCAAATTAAAGGGAATCATTAACAAGGTATGACATATCAAAAAAGTTATGACACCCTCACCAGTTCACACAATCCCTTTGCAATCTTCGTTTTAGTATTTGCTAAAATGTGTTGAACTAACCCAACATCTAATTTATTCACCTTATATTTTCTGATTAATGATTCCCTTTCATTATTGTTCCCGGCACATTCCATTAGCAAATGTTTTACGTCCTCTACTACAACTGACTTATCGAGCGTAAATAACGCCTATAGTCAAAATGTTTAATTAGATTTCAGATTTGACAATAGCTACTGTCATTTTGTGAAATAATGATACCACATATAATAGTGTAGTGATGCACACAAAAATCGATAAACAATCAGTGTGTGTGTGTTTTATAATAAACTAGCGACCCGCCCCGGCTTCGCACGGGTGCAATGAATCACTCTATCTATTAAAAAAAACCGCATCAAAATCCGTTGCGTAGTTTTAAAGATACGGACATACAGCGAAAGCGAGTTTGTTTTATACTATGTATTGATAAATAAATAAATGTTACAGAAAGTGACAGGATAGCGATAGCGATGACGGCGACAATTTATAAAATAAGTACCATGATACATCTATCTGTTTTATTTGTCATGTTCCTTCATGATTACGTTTTTTAATTATTTCACACACAATTATAAAAGAAAACTCTCAAATCGATAATTAATCGTCAGAACGAAATAATCGGTTCAGAAATATTTAATTTCTTGATAGTTTACGGGAGTAAAATAATAAACGAGAAGAATCGATCCAGAAATATTGCATTTCCAAATCGAATAATTTCGCAACGTCTCTATATAGTACTTGTCATAACGTTGCAACACTGAAATTTGAAATTGTCAAATCTGGAATCGAATTAAAATTCCGAGTATATCTAGTCAATACAAAGGTTTAAGATTCAAATCAGCATTGCCACTAAGATGTAAATAGAAAACAAATGGCCGAAATAAATCGAGAATCATTGAAATGTATTATAATGTTTTATTTCTCAAAAAGCTTTATATTCCCCGAGGTAATACAAGCAACGATAGGCCATTACCACGAACTAATGAATTGTAGATGAAGCTCGCCACTCTCCTTGATTATATAGCCGCCATCTTGGATTCTGTAATAGGTAACGGCTTTTTGTTTCTGTTTTTGAATTGGATTCAGATAGAGGCTGTTTTTTAAAATGCCTTTGTAATAAGATTTAAGAATCTGAATTACACATGATTCGAAGGGCCGGTGTGTTAATCATCAGTTAATTGGGTACTTGCCTACGAGTCAAATTCAATATTTTTTCGAACTGTCAAAAACGACAGTTTTCTATAAATTGTGTATTGTGACGAGTTAAGTTACGGCGATCGAGAAATTAATTAAAAAGAATTTAATTTTAATGTTTATTGTTACAATGGTTCTACAAGACTGATTATAATAATAAGTAATATCTAATTCTAACTTATTGCTAAATATGCACTTTTGGCTACACGTGCTGATCGTCCGGAACTTGGTCAGCAATCATGGGTGCGGCGCGGCGCATGTCCATCGATTGCTTAACTCCTCCCTCCCTAAGCTGGAAGCGCGTCCCGCGGCTTCCCACAGCGTCCTCGGTGCGGTTGTCATCTGGTTTCTGCTTCTGACTGCGTTGTCTCCATTGAATTACTTTCCAGGTGATTAATCCTGCGATGATCAGGTATAGTGCAATGGTCGACCAACTTGGTATGGCCATTAGAATTTGCCAGTCGACGTCATCTTCGTATTGGATGTCTTCTGCCCGGTCCATCAATTCGTGGATGTTGTCTAAAGAAATGTCCTCAAGCTGTAGTTTAGCGGTAGTGGACAGTTTCTTCAGCAATAGGTGGTGTGTTTGGCAATGGTATCATTTCGTCTATTGTGATAGTGTTCGTGTGTGTCTTTAGGGTTTGATTTAGAATTTCCAGATGACAGTCATTGGTAATGCTTACTATGTGGATGCCAGATATCTTCTTATATTCGGTTTTGGTTCCGCAATAGCTTCGTAGGATTTCCTCCTGCTTCAGTATTAGTAGCCACTTATTTTTCTCAATCTTCTGTATCTTCCCGTGTTTGAGATTCATCTTTGCTCGGGTGCAGTTCGTCTCCTGGTGTTTCACGAGGGATATGATGCAGTCATCTGATTTATCTATGGGTTGGGTATTGAGCGAAGTGCAGAGATGTGTATCTTGGGTGATCTCCTTACATTCTTCATCTAGGTATGAATACTCCTCGCTACCCAGTGCTAGGTATTTGGATTTGGGGATAATAGTAAAGTTTTGTTTATCAGGGATGGAATAGATGTGAAGGAGGTCGAATTGGTGTGGATCAATGGAAGGTATCTCTAAAATAAATGTTAATGTGTGCTCAGTGCTATATGCTTTTACGGTAATAGACTTTTCTATGCTATGTATGTATTTTATGTTTATGCTATTTACTGCTTTAAACTGGATTAGCTTTTGTATGTTGGTAATTTCATTTAGTAAACTATATGAATCTATTATACTGGGGTGCATTACGCCTAATTGTGCAAATGTCATTGCATCTTCTAGGATAGTAAGTTTGTCTAATAAGAGCTCTAAACTAAAATCTATTTGAATATATAAGTCTAAAAAGTGCATGCGATTAATTATTAAGTTATTACTAATAGAGGTATTTCTTAATAAGTTGGCTAATTTCTTTTGATTCTCGTCTATTACTTGTATTTGTTTACTAAATTCTCCGATAGTGTTTTCCACTACAAACATATTTCGTTTTTGTGACGTTTGAATTTTGCTAACTGAATTACGTAAATTTTTAATTTCGTTTTCAAACTTCAATGCATCTTCGTAATCTAAGTTTCCTGTTATTGATTTGATGACTGATCCTAAGCCATTTATTATACCTCGCCTAATTCTAGTATGTGGTGCAATAAACATAATTTTCTTACTTATTAAATTTAAACTAAAATCTATCTGATCCTTATAGGTCTTATAATGGTTTTCATTATCTCCTAA